GGCGTCGACGCGCCGGCAAACGCGCGCCCGGAGTCCGTCTCGAAGTATTCTCTCGCGATGGTCCTCCGCGTCTCGCTTGAAAGAAGTGCGCCCCAATCTACGCTCTTCAACTCTTGGAATAATTAGCGAAATCGAGCTTCGCAATAACCTTCGAACATTCCCATGGTGGACTCTGCTGCGGCCCAAGCGCTGCCCTGCAAACGTCTCCTGAGATGCCAGCTCGCGGCGCGCAGCCATGGGCGAGGCCGGCCCCGTCCACGCCGCGCAGAAGTAGATCGCCAGAGACGCCCATGCCTTTATATTGGATTTTCCCATGCTCGCGGCACGATACGGGAAGTCTGCGAAGAAAGCCATTGAGGTGGCGCGGCAGGCTGCGAAGTAGAAGTTCGCGCCGCTGCGGGCGCGCTCGCGCGGGCCCCGACGGGCGCGAGGGATCCTGAAGGGAAGTCGCCGTCAACGCCTGAAAACTTACCCCTCCCTCCCCCAATCGATGTTGTTTGCGGGTTCGCACTTGGGGTCAAATTTGATAGTGCAGTTGCTGGACTCGCACTGGTACTCTGGACAGCTGCGCGCAGCATGAAGTGCCACTCGCTCTTCGACGCTGGGTCGGCTCTCACCTTCCCCCGCCGCTTCCGCGTAGGTCCCTCCACTGCGGCTTCCACCAGTTTCCCAGGTCTTCGTCGTTTGCCGCGCCCCGTCGTCATCGTGCCATGCCATCTCCCCCCCCCCCCCCACCCCGTCTTTGATCGCAACCATCTTCTTCGGCCATGCGATTTTCATATATTTCGTCTTGTGGTGGGGGTGCTGCGATAAATGGTATTTCGCGTAACCCATCCCCTCTGCTCGCCCCCGCTCCTCCTTGGTCGGGTTGTTCCGAAAGAAAACACCCCAAAAGCATGTTCGTCGCTGTCCTGTTTATCCCGCACCTTTATCCAGAACTTGACCTTCGACTGCATGGAAGAAAACTCGATGACCCCGCACTTCGTGGAAGCGGGCGTCGGAAGCACAACCGCATCATACCCAATGTCCACAAATTGCTGAAACATCTTTTCCAACTCCTTCACTACCTGCTCGGCGGTAGAACTTCCATCGAATCCAAATACAGTCGCCTGCTTAGCCCGTGCCTCCTGCCCTGCACCTGCCCGGCCCCCCCACCCCGGCCCCCCGCTTTGCCGTGCGCCGCGCCCTGGAGTTTTGAAGCTGTTGTTCACGGTGTCACTCACTTCCTGGAGCTCGTTTTCAATAACGCGTTCGATCTCGTTTTTCGCAAGGTACATTTCGTCGAGGTCATTTCGGATAGCTTCCACCTCCATCTCTACTTCCTCCATATTCTCCTGCACCTCCTCTGCCGCCCCCCTTGCATCCTGCGCCTCGACCCGCGCCTTGTCTATGAGATTTTTGACGTCGGCCATATCCGCCTTCAAACTGTCGAACTGCTTCGATTGAATGCGGGCGAACTCCTGGAACCATTCCGGGGCGGTGCTAAGATGCTCGTCTCCCATTTTTGTGTCCTCGAGCTGCTTCGTCGCGTCCTTCCCCCGGCGGCCTGTCTTCCCATCCGGGTGTCGATCATGTCGAAGCCCCCCGCGTTTCGCCATATTCCCAGCTATTCTGTGCACGCCCCGGATAAACAGAACAGCGAAGTCATAATGCCTCAGATTGCTTGAGCCCCAGATTGCTTGAGCCTCGGATCTTGAGCCAACATCCCTTCATGCCACAGGGGAGAGTCAGCCGAGGCCGCTTGAGTAAGTTCTGAGGACTCCTGACGCCTCCTCTGCATGGTGTTACTCGTGTTCCGGAGAGGCGCCGTCACCGCACGCCTAGGGCTGGAGTGTGAAGTCTACATCCTGGATTGCCTCCAGGTGGGCATCTTTGGCTAACGCTGTATACGGGGACCCGTGAGACACCTTGTTAAAGAAGTGAAAAGCTCTCACGAGGTTCCACAACAACGCAGGACTCGCTGGGAGAAGGCCCCAGCGCTCCGGAGAGGCATGTAAGGGAGGGAACTCCGGGTGGTGAAGAATCTCCTGCAGCTTTGGGCACCTCCAGTAATGTCGAAAATCGTCTCCCTGGTGACAATGGCTGTTGACGCGCGCGCAGCCGGCCTCCTCTGCATGGTGTGAATTCCCAAATTCATGCGTTGGGCTGACGATGTTTAGTCTTGAATTGTTTGGGAACCTCTTACGCGTTGTTGGTGGTGTCGGGCAATTTTGTTTGGTGCCTTTCAAGCGGTTTGAAGTTGTTGTAGTGTTGTTGTGCGTTCATGCGATATCGGGTTTCTGGCTAAATGTTTTGGCTGCGCGAAGGCGCGCTAGCAGACGGGACTCTGTCGTGGATGACCGTTTTGATTATTCTGGCCGATGCTGACCCCAGAAGAACTGCGTCTTCCGCTAAGGTTTTCGATGATACAGGACATCAGGGCGGATGGTGCGCCAAAGGTCCGCGCGGTGGAGGCAAGTCCAGGGGCGGCGTCAACGCGGCGCGTCAGCCTGCCGAGAGGTTGCAAGTGGACGGCGCAGACGTACTCGTCGATGCGTTACGCTACTTTCACACTCAACGCGGGCACGCTCCAGCGTTGTTCAAAGACGACATCGACTCCGCGTACAGCCGCGTACCAATTGCTCCTGAGCGCAGGCTCCTCGAGAACCTGGGATCGTACCAGGTATAGATTTTGAAAGCTCAGGCCGCCGGGGGTCGGTTTCAGGTAAGCTCAAAGTCTGCGGAGTCGCTGTCGGCCGCGCGCAGGTGGATCGCTTACAGCGCGCATGTGCACGACGGGAACACTTGGGCCACTGGTCATTTACCCATGGTGTTTGGCGCGCTGGCCGCGGCTTTCGGATAGGACCAGATGGGTGCGGCCCTGACGCAACTTGCCCGCAAGCTTCTAACGATTGCTGCCCTTCGATACATGGACGATTTCTTTGGTCCGTGCGCACCCGCAATAAAGGAACATGCAATTGCATCGTTGGCCAGACTTGTGCGCTTGTTGCTAGGCCCGCGAGCCAGTATCAGACAAGGAGTTGGTGTAGCAACCCGCTGGAGATCTTAGGCTTGCACGCGTAATGTTCTGTCGCTGGAACAAATTGGTTCCCGACGCCGAAGCCAAATTCGCAAATGGCTATTCCTGAGCAAAGAGGCGCTCGATGGCGGGAAATTGTGCGCCGGCCAGGCCAGCGAGTAGGTGGGGCACCCGTCGGGTTGTGAGCTGCGCGCGCTGTCGAGCGGCGCCTGGCGCTGAGCACAAGCCATCGGGGCCGCACGAGCGGGCCGAACGACTCGTGCAGCACCAGCTGGCTGCGGCGCCTCGGCGGTGACGCACAGGAAAGGCCCCTCATGATGCACTCCCTCGCTTCCATCTCTGACCAACTCTCCGTGTGCCAAAACGGCGCCCTCCGAGAGAAGCGCCATCATCTCCACCAGCACGGGGAAGAACGAGAGGGGCCAAGGGCCAAGGAACGCCCGCATCGGCCTCAGCGGTCTGGCGCCCACCACTGCCACAGCCACCACCAGCTCGAGGAGATCCACCTGCCCGGAATGGGAGCGGGTCGCCGAGACCGACGTCGCCATCGCCAGCACCAGCGGGGGCCTCGGGCGGGCGGGCCAGCGCCGCACGCAGCGTGCGGCTGAGCTAGGGCAAGGCCTGGCCGCGGTGGGAATCGATGGCGTCGAACGCCTTGATCAGGTGCAGCGCCGCACGGCCATGCGCCCGTGCATGTTGCGCACGGCGCTCCGCCGCCGACCCGTTGGGGCGCCGCAGCGCCGCAGCCGGGGCGCGGGGTCCATGCCGGCTGGAGGAGGGGGGCCCGCGCGGGCGGCGGCGCGGAGGCGTGGAGGACGGGCGAGGCCGCGGTCGGCGCCGAGGCGCCGCTGGCGCTGGTTTGGGCACCAGGGCCCTGGGCCGAGCTTGCGCTACGGTAGTGGAGTGGAGTGGAGTAGAATAGAGTAGAGCAGAGTAGAGTGTAGCAGAGCAGGGCAGAGCAGAGCAGAGTAGAGCGAGCAGAGCAGCGCAGAGTAAAATTATCCCAGCGCGACCCTACCTAGCAGTTGGAGCCCCTAGGAAAGCAGCATAAGCTAAGCTAAGCTAAGCTAAGCTAAGCTAAGCTAAGCTAAGCTAAGCTAAGCTAAGCTAAGATAGCTAAGCTAAGCTAAGCTAAGCTGAGATAAGCTAAGCTAAGCGAAGCTAAGCAGCGGTAAGCTAAGCTAAGCTAAGCTAAGCTAAGCTAAGCTAAGCTAAGCTAAGCTAAGCTAAGCTAAGCTAACATGCGATAAGCTAAGCTAAGCTAAGCTAAGATAAGCTAAGCTAAACTACGCTAAGCTAAGCTAAGCTAGGCTAGGCTAAGCTAAACTAAGCTAAGCTAAGCTAGGCTAAGCTGAGCTAAACTAAGCTAAGATGAGACAAGGAAAGCTAAGCTAAGATAAGCTGAGCTAAGGTCAGCTAAGGTAAGGTAAGCTAAGCTAGGCTAAGCTAGGCTAGACTAAGCTAAGCTAAGATGAGATAAGCTAAGCTAAGCTAAGCTAAGCTAGGCTAAGCTAAGCTAAGCTAAGCTGAGGTAAGGCAAGTTAAGCTAAGCTAAGCTAGGGGAACCCAGGGGGCGCAACCGGGGGAACCAGGGGGGCGCAACCGGGGGAACCGCCCGGGGTGGGTAGCATTGCCCGCCCCCTTTAGCAAACAAAGTAAGAACCCTTCTAGGCAGAGCCTAGGTAGGGAATAAAGCATAGCAGAGTAGATCAGTATAAGAGAGTATATTAGAGGAGGACGGAATAGGAGTAGAGTAGTAGTAGGAGTATGCTTGGATACATGCTTGCTCATCTTCGAATTCGTGCCCACGCTCTGACGCGCGTCTAGGCTCAGAGGCCCAGACTGATAAGAAGCTGCCCCCCATCGCTGTCACCCGACACCAGACCTGAGGGCTCGCGGCCTCCCCCGCGACACACCTGCTGCGGAGCGAAGCCCGGTGTGACTGGCCGTCCTGCTGGGCGCCCGGCCCCTCCCTCCGCACGATGAAACTCGACAGCAGGCCGAGGCCCCAGAGCGGGTTCCCAGCATGGTGCTCGGGGTTGAGAGGCCCCGCGACCATGTACCATACCTTACCCGCGAGACGGGGGCTGCGAAGCAAGAACTCAGCACGGAATCCAATCGTTACGTTGCTCGCGCGATGGAGAGGCAGCGTCGGTATATCAAACAAACCAGGTCGGACGCAGGAACGAATATCGAGACAACGCAACAGGCAAATATGGCATGATCTGCGAATGTACCAAGCGTGCGTATTAACATTTTGCATCGCCCCAGAAGCCCTGGGATGAACACGTGGGAGGATACAGGTGCAATATACCAAGACGGAAGTCAGTCTAGGTGCTGATCGCTTTGGGCCAAGCTATGCTTGAAGCAATGATGAAGCCTCGTATTGACTGTCTCAAAGACCTTGGCCCAGTTCCGTCGCCTATCTAGACGCATCTCTCTCCCAAGTGCGCATTCAGCAAGCCTCGGTGTACGCTTCCCGCCCAGCCACACATCCCACCAACTCTTTACGGCGTGAGTGGTTTAGCGAGCTTCTTCTTCCAACCCCCCATCTTCCCATTCAGGGAAGGGTTTACCCCTCCCCTTACCCCCACACTGTAACACTTCCCCATGTGTCGAATGTTTGTCTTTCTTTACGCAATGCCCATTCGACGAATTGACGTGTTCGCAGCCTGGAAACTATTTGACGAGTCGCGTTCTTCTCGTTATTCAAAGTTTCGCGTCATCGAATTACGGGCAATATCTTTTGGGACCCCCAGTCGGCCCCAAGAGACCCCCCAGAGGCACCCAAGACGCCCCAAGAGGCCTCGGCGAGACAACCGAATTCATTGATGTCACATTGGGGCCCCTGGGGGGAGGGTGACCCGAAGGAAGGAGCCCCCCTCCTTTGATCGATCTCTACCAAGATGGCCCCAAGATGGTTCCCGAGGCGGCCAAAAAAGGTGCCCAGGAGGCCCCAACAGGCCCCCAAAAGGCCCCCAAGATGCCCCCCCAGAGGCTCCCAAGAGACCCCCAAGGCGCCCCAAGAGGCCTCCGGGACTGAGGACACCCCCAAGAAGCCCCAAGAGGACTTCAATAATGACAAAATCCGAAAAGACTCCGAGAGGCATCCAAGAGGCCTCTGGCCTTTTTGCTCGCCCTCCTCCTCCTCCTCCTCCTCCTCCTCCTCTGCCTCATCCGCCAGTTCATTTTCCTTCTTCGTCCCTCCTCCCCCTCTCCCTCTCCCTCTCCCTCCTCCTTCTCCTCCTCCTCCTCCTCCTCCCTCCTCCTCCTCCTCTCCTCCTCCTCCTCCTCCTCCTCCTCCTCCTCCTCCTCCTCCTCCTCCTCCTCCTAATCCTCATTGTCATCGTCCTACTCCCCCTCATTATCTTGCTCCTCCTCCGATTTCTCCCCCATCCTCCCCCTCTTGGGGTACGACGTCTTATCCAACCCTTTATTCCACTGCATTATACTCCGCATCCCTGATTCGGGTACCTCGTCTGAGCTGGTGGGGTTACTTTTTTTTGTCAGCGGCCGCAGGCGAGCGCGCCAGCGGCGAGTCCACTCAGAGCGGGGCGCGCAAGCTGGTGGGGTTATTTTTGTTGATTGGCGGCTCGAAGGACAGAACCAGCGAGCGGGAATAACGTCTGGGCCACAGGGCGAGATAATTGGCTGCAGAGGCGCATAGGCCGTTGTAGCGAGTGCACATGCCAGGGACAAAGTGACCCTCATTGGGGACTGACGCAGGCGGCCCGACGGTGGGGACGCAAGCGCATAACCAAAAGCGGACGGAAAGGAGCTGTCGCACACGTGGCGCCAAGCTCCGACCGTGCCGTACAGCGCGAAAGGGCGTGGAGCACGCCGCACTGTGGCGGCACGGGGTGGCCAGGTGTGGCCGCACCGCCCATGCAACAAGAGGTGAGGCAAAGAAACAGGAGAGACACGGCGGGCGCTAGGGCACCCGACAGCAGGAAAAAGGAAGGCACAGGGAGAAGCCTCACTCGCAGTGACTCACAGGACGCTCTTGGGCGTGAGAGCGACCAATACCCAGTCAGGGACCAGTCGTCAATGCCGTCTGAGTCCACAGCCTGCAACTTGTCCGACACGGAAGATCGGGGGCGTAAAGCTGCAAGCATTGGCCAAGTCACCTGACCCGGCCTGCCGGGGGGACCGCGATGATCTGCCAAGAAGGATGAACCACTTGTGCAGGAGCTTGAACGCGAAGGCGACGACACCAGTCAGCGAACCTGTCGTCGAAGTCGCCGGCGTTCACCGCGCGCAACTTATCCGACACAGAAGATCGGGGGCACAAAGTCGCAAGCGTGGCCGGGACACGTGCGACGGACCTGCCGGGGAATCCGCGATGACCTGCCAAAGGATGAACCACTTGTGCAGGAACGCGCCCAAGCCAGGCCCGACATCGGGAGGTACCAGAGGCGGGCGAGGTGCTGCACCTTGCCGAAGCCCAGCACCTGTAGCGCCCCGAACCGTACCATGTGGGCCAGACCCGCAGGTAGGGGAGGCCCGCTGGCCGCGGCGGTGACCATGGGGGGGAAGCCACTCTCGCGCGTCCTCACGCCGGCGCACGCAGTTGGCGACCGGCCGATGCACCACGTAGTCGACCAGGGAGTCTGGGGGAAATCGCATTGCGGTGGCTAGCGCGGGCAGGCCTTGTGCGACCTGTGCGTCTGATGGCCCGGCTGGAAGCGAGATTCTGGGCCACAGCGACCCACTGGGGTGGCTGAACCTGTCAGCTCCCCTGTCGAGATGCCCCTTCACAGCGCTGGGGGCGCAGCCAAGAGCCGCAGAGACTTGCGAGTGAACGCGGGGGGTGCACCCAAGAGCCGCTGGCAAGACAGCCATGTCCATGGCCTCCTCGCTGGACTGTGCCACGGCACTGGCACGTCCTCAACCAGCTCTCCAGTCGTGATGTCCCTTCACAAAGCTGCGGGCGCAGCCGAGAGCCGCAGATACTTGTGAATGAAGGGGGGGTGCAACCAAGTGCCGCTGGCACGACGCCATGCCGAGGGGCCCCACGCTTGGCCTGCGCCGCGGCACTGTCAGGTCCTCGACCAAGGCGCACTTCGCTGGGGGCCATGGGGGCCTGGAGGGGTGGCTGAAACCGTCAGCCCCCCTGTCATGATGTTCCTTCGAAGCGCTGGGGGCGCAGCCGAGGGCCGCAGAGACTGGCGAATGAAGGCGAGGGGTGCCATCACGTGCCGCGGCGCGACAACCGTGCCAAGGGCCTCCACTCTTGGGCTCGACCAAAGCACTGTCCCGTTCCAAGCCAGGGCACACTTCGTTGGGGGCGCAGCCAAGAGCCGCAGAAACTGGTGAATGGACGGCGGGGGAGGGAGGAGGAGGAGGGGAGGCGAGTCCAACCCGGCGCTGGGTGACAGCCCAGTCGCATTCGCGGGGCAGGATCGGACCCGGCGATCAGGATGGGGGAGGCCGCCAAGCGCCGCACGGAGTGGTGGACTTCTCGGAGAAGGGTGCGGCCGAGAGCCGTAGAGCCTTTACATGGTGGGGGAAGCCCGCGGTCGTTGGACACGGCAGGCGCCCCCCACCCGCTGTCGAGCCATGTCTATTACAAGGTGGGGCGCTGGAGGTGGGTTGTTTTAGCCACCAGTCCCTGTCGTCCAAAAGTAGGTGCCCCTGAGGGGCAGCATCGACGGCCCCCTGCCCCGTGGGGTAGTCAGGTTCATGGGCTGGCGGAGCGGCAGTGGGTGCCCTAGTCATGCCGCCCGCGATGCCAGAAGGGGCGGGGCGCGGGGTGTGGGCTATTTCAGCCGCCGGGCCCACCGTCCAGGGCGGGTCCACGAGACCAGCGTGGGCTGTCTAGTACGCGGCGCATGGGAATTGGTGCACCTCTGACCCAAAGGAGGTAGCACGGGGTATTGTGGCCGAGGCCTAGCGCTGCGGTGAAACCTATCCATGTCGTGGTCAGGAGCATCCATAAGGGAAACTTCGGCCGTGGGGCGGCTGGCGCCCCCATTGACTTCAGCCCACAAGCCCAGCGTCGCCGCTCGAGGCGAGGGGCCGGTTGAGGACCATGGGGCTGCCAACCCAGCGGGCTCCGCCAGGCGCCGCGGGATCCCAGATGGCCCATAGGGTCAGCGCAATAGAGACCACCTTGTATAAAGAGGTGGAGGTCGCCCCCAGCTGCCCAAGATCATTGTTGTCCAGGAAGCAGGCGTTGCGTTCCATGACGGGACGAGTCGCGACTCTGAGAACTGACATGGTCCAGTGCACCAGAGATGGACTCGAGCCGCAGAAGGGCTGCACGAACCAGCCTTCTCAGCGGATGGGCAACAGCAGAGGGGGGGGGGGAGAGGCGAGGAAGGGGGGCGGCAAATTGCGTGCACGGGGAGAAAGCCGTGTCGGCGCGGGCCGCGGCGTTCCCGGCGCTAGCGGGGGGTTGTGCGCAGAACGAGCTGGCTCACTTGTTCCCCGGTCACTTGGGTCGGAAACCCCGCCCCCGCGGGCGCTTGTCTGAGTGCTGGGTTTCCCCTCTGGGAGAAAACCGCTTCCCCTTCGCCTTCCAGTCAGTGTCAGTCCATGTATCCTGCTGATGGCCCCACGCGTCCCAGGACTACCATGCACGCCACGGTGCTTCTGACCCCGATGCCCCTGACCATGCAGCATCCATGCCTTCAGTGGTCCATGGGGGGGCCTTTGCAGCCTCCTTGCCTTCGACGGCCCATGGGGGTGGGCGTCCGCTGCCGACGGGCCCGTCGGCGGTGCGCAGTCTGGTGTCGCGCTGCGTGAGTTTGCGATGCTTCTCCATGTCACTCGGCCAGTCGACGTGGAGTTGGTATTCTCTATCCATCTTGTAGGCGTCGAACCCCATGTTGCTCCATGCCTGTAGGAACTCGCTGCATCGTTGTACTGTGTTTAGCGTGGGGTTGGACTTGATGTAGGTACTCCCTTGACTGAAGGCTGCCTTCCTGGCCCAGACGCTCCAAGCTCCGTGAAACGCGCCCCCAGCGCCTTCTGCATCCGTGTGATCTTGTCGGGTGCTGGTTCGTCCCTTGCAACGTCTGCCTCGTCGATAGATCTCAAGTGCATGGGGAGGCCTCCCATGGGGTC